TTGAAAGCTGCAGGGCTGAAATTTCGGAACTTAATCTACATGCACGTGCTGACCTCAATTCCCAAAATGGGTGCCATCACCTGCGTGGTACCCACGTACGGGCCCGCCAGAATCTTTTTGAGGTAAGTTCATAACTCGGGGATCGGAGAAGCTAGAACGCTGAATCTTAGGGGGATGTTCCCCGTCCAAGTAGGTGTTAATGCACTGAAACTCATCCTCCGGGTAAGCGTGATATGTTCCCTGTCCAAGTGGGTATTAACAAGTTCACTGTCCAAGTGAGTATTAACGAGTTGAAACCCTGCCTGCGGGGATGTTCCCTGTCTAAGTGGGTATTAACGAGTTCAAACCCTGCCCGCGAGTTAGCGTGGTACATACGTATAGGCCCGTGAAAGTTTCTTCCGGGTAAGTTGCTAACTCAAGGACGTGAGAAGCTAGAAGACTGGAATTTCGAAGCGATGTTTCCTGACGGTTCTGCCGGCCAGTCTGAAATTCTTTTAGCTAGAAGCATTTGCTGGAAAAACCAGTGCCAGTAACGACAAAAATCAGTCGGGAGCTATGCAAAAAACGCATCTTCGCACGGGTAGCCCGTGCGTTGACCAGTTATTTTGTCTATGGCGGGTGGTTGCTGGTCTTGTAAGGATGTGCAAACGTACGCTAGCGATCATCATTTCTGTCCGTTTCTGTACATCCTCCTCTGAGCGCACCACGGATGCCCCGCTTGGTTGGTCGGTCTGCCTGTGCATGTGCATGGCTAAGTGGTCCGGTCCTATGCATGGGATGCTCAATTTTCTATTACATCGGTCGGTCTGTGCAACATTTCTTGGATTATCTGCCACGCAGTCGCCTTTTTCAGGCAACTTTCCTAAATCAGATCCGTAACTCGGGCAATACTTTCCCTCGTTGCTGCTTCGGGTAAAGCCGGCTGCTATTAACCATTCGACTGGGCCTACTTCTACTCTTCATCTCAGCCACGCTAGGTGCTATTAGGCAATCCGAGTCAAGCCCAGTAATGGTTGTTTCTGGAGCCCGACCAGACTTTTCCCGCGGCTTTAAGCCAAGCCAGGTGGTTATTGAGGTATGTACTTTTCCTGAGAAGGCTGTTATCTTTGTGTTCTTGGCTGGTCAATTTCGGGGCTGGCGTTCTAATTCGAAAAAACAGAGTTTGCAATAAATTATGGTAAATTATGGTAAAAGGCAAGCCATTTACTCAGGTAAAAAAGCAAGGAAAAACTCTACTTAGACTGGAAACATAATCCCAAAATTTCAGCTTTCTAGCTTTCCTGGTTCTTGAGTTGACGATTTTCCCCCAAAAACTTTGAGGCGTTTTCCCAAGCCTGACCAGGTGTTGTGCACTACTTGAACGGCCCCGTGTCTTGCTGGGTGCCCCATGTCAGGCCAGGCCTTCAAACCGTCGAGGTATGCAGATTTGGCGTAACGTGCAAATCCTCGGCGCTTGCAAATTTTCCACGTCATTACGTGACGTGGCGTACGCGTTAGTCAAATCTGCATATCTCTTCCTTGCCTGTTTTGTGCTTCACAGTACTGCCCCGCAGCGAAACTTCTTTACTCCGATTGTCCGAGGTTTCCACGCGCACTACGGGGAATCCTGTGTCCGCTGGCCCATCTGAGCCGATGGACGCATCGGTCAGCGAGCCTCGGCCATTGGTCACTTCGCTGTACCTCAGGGTCCACACTTCGGCACATTTCAAATATTCCTGAGCCGCTCTGGGGGTATGGTGGTCAGCGAGGGGCGCGGGGGCTAGGGCACTGGTCACTCGCCCCGCCCCTGTTTCCCCTCCCCTCCCCCCTCCCTCCAAACTTCAGGCTAAGCCGCGACGCAACAGGCTGCGATGAGCTCGGCGACCACACGCAGACGCTCACGCACGTCACTTGGTAGTGGCAGCGTACGCGCACGTCCCCGATTGGCCAATTGCCCCGTGGGGGGGCGTGGCTTGGCTACCGTGCCCGGTACGTCGGTGCCGCGGCGCATCATTCCAGCGCTTTGCGTCGGCGTCGAGCGGTCGGTCTCGGACAGTGCTCTGTCCGTATCTGCTTGTGCATCTTTGTCTTTGTTGTGCAATGTTTTTGTGCTGTACGGGCGGGCAGGGGAGGGATGCTGCTTGCATCTTGTGTCTGCTTTTGTCAGTTTCTCCGCGTCTTCTTCGGTCGTTATGCTTGTTGTACCGTGTTGCTTGCTGTTTTTCCTTTTTATGTGTTTTCGCATAATATGCAAAAACGCATATTGTGACGGCCCCGGTGTGCGTGTGTATGTATATGTGTGTGTGTGCATGTGTATGTGTGCGTCTGTCCGGGTATTTCAACTCGGCACCCAAGCAAGCTCCGGCACCAAAATTTTGCAAGTGGGTTCCCCGGCTAAGTGCCACCCCAGGACCGCGGTACCAGCCCTCAAGCACGCCTAGGCCCCGCGTACGAGCGCCTCAAAGTGGTGGCGGGAAAATCGCTAACTCGAGAACCAGAAAAGCTGGAAAGCTGAAATTTTGGGATTATGTTTCCAGTCCAGGTAGAACACAAAGATTTCAAATTCAGCCCCCGGGGGTTCGTAGTTCCCGCGTGTGGCCCCGTAAGGGTTTCTGGCGCGAAAATCGCTAGCTCGGGAACCAAGGAAGCTGGGAGGCTGAAACTTTCAGAAAATGTTCCCAACCCATCAAAAATTTAAATCTGTCAAATTCAGCCCCCCGTTATGCGTGGTTCCCGTGTACGGCACCGTGAAAGTTTTTGGCGGGAGAATGGCCAACTGCGGAACCAGGGAATCTGGGAGGTTGAAACTTTTAGGAAATGTTCCCAACTCATCTACAACTTAAATTTGCCAAATTCAGCCCACCTCCCCCACCCCCTCCA